GTACAGCTGACACCTGATCAAATTGCACGGGTACTAAATATCCTAGGAAGTATAATTCCATTATTTCAATAAATTTGAGCGCAATTTGTAATGAAGTTGCACGGTTTCAGCAGCATGTTACAGGCATTTATTTAGTAAACGGGTGCATGTGGCAGTAGCGGTATATTTAACCAAAAAATAGGCGTTGTTTTTCGCGCTACATTGTTCAGTCCCTGTCTCATCTCAGTCGTCTCTCTACTTATAAACTGAAGCGCGTGGGTAGGATGGGAAGGGGAAAAGGACAGATTCTCTTTCCTCTTCTTTCCCATAGTCCCTTTCGTTGAGGTAGTGCCAGTCTTTCGCGATCCCGCGGTCGCGTATTAAGATACGACAGGAGACGACTCAGTTTCAGCCCTCGTTTTATTTTCAGTCCTCTTTGACGCTACTTTCGCGCCTCGATTTCTAGATGAACGCCTGGAACAGGCAACGATCTCAATATTCCTGTCTGGCAAAAGTAGTTCTATTGTTCCACAGTGCATATTTAGAATTTGGCCTCTAAGCTGACGTATTAATATATTTAGAATTTGTCCTCTAAGCTGACGTATTAATCCCGAGATGGCTGGAATGTTCTCTTGATAAATAACGGTAATTTGGCGTTTTGTTTTTTTTTTCAATGTAGAATAGTTAATAAAAGTGTATAGTTTGGGTATTTTCCATAAGGGTTATTAAAAAGGTAGTTTGGTACGATCACCTGAGTTGTAAACGTAAATTAGTCACCGTTAAGAGTTTTAAATCTGATGTTCCGAGCGTTGGCCCTTTGTCTCTCGCTTTGACGATACGCTCCCACCGATGCAGCACCTCAGTTTCTTTAAATATTTGCCTCCTTTATTAATTTATATGGATCATACACTGTTTCACCTTAGACACGAAGTTAGAAGAAAAGTAAGCAATAGCCTCCACTCTGCGCAGAAGACAGTATCTGTTAAGCAAAGAAATTTGTTTTCCGAGAGAGAAGCACGAGGAAAATCGAGCGTGGAAAATCAGTTGATGATCAAGGATAAATGTAAGGGCATGTTTGCAAGTCGATTGAAGGTTACTGCGCGCACTCTCCCTCAGACAATTTTTGTGCAGAAAGCAAAACGTTCATAGGTCAATAAATGCCGCCCTCGAATAAACGCCGCACTCGAATCACCAAAAATTTAATAAGTAGTTTCCAAGAATTTGTCTTCAAGATAATTTACTTTTGCTCCGTCATGTTTGTATAGGTAATCACATGATTTCGAGTGCAATTTGGAATAAATAAGCACGAGTAAATTTTTTTAAAGACTAACAAAATTGCACGAGCCCGTTGGGCGAGTGCAATTTGTGGTCTTTGAAAAAATTAACAAGTGCTTGTTTATTCCAAATTGCACGAGAAAAATCATGTGATTACGTGTTAATAATATACATGGAAAAATACGAGATGGCTTATCATAATTAAATATAAGCAAAGCGCGCATCAAGTGCAAAAATAATTTATTCAAACCGTGTGTTCGGTCAAAACAACCGCGTACGATCAAAACAATAATAAATTATGCAATGATATCTTCACAAAATAATATCTTCTGCAAAAAAGTTCAAAGTCCGTCTAAACAGTTCAAGGAATTGTTCAGTCTGTGTCCTAATCACTTTCGATGAAATGGAATCGTCGTTTCCGAGGTTTAACCATGTTTGTTTTTAATTTCGGCGTTGGATCGCTCGAGCAAAGTGTCAAGCTGGGTCGGCTCGTCATTTTCGATTTCCTCGGCAATTCCCTTCTCTAAACACCACTTTTTCCAAACCGACAACCAAAAAGCAGTGCTTTTTACAGTGTTTTCGTTGTTTAAGCTGTTTTTCAGCTGTGGTGGCAAAAGAAAGCCTACTTAAAACGCCGGCCATTGTTTCGCTCGCAAATTTTCAAATTTTCAAATTTTGTTGCGACATCCAAGGCTCGCATTTGATTGGCTATCTGTGAGTGTCTTTGATTATTGACCAATCAGAATGTCTGATTTCTTTCTTTCTTTGCACTGAATTAACCCTCTTCTGCACTGAATTAACTCTCTTCTGCACTGAATTACCTGAAAACTGCATTTCTCTTAACCAATCAGAACTGAGTAATTTTTCTATGTATATTATTAATTACAGTAACTGCACGGACCCACGGCAACATGGAACCTATTGGTATTTTTTTAAAGGAGCAAAGAAATGTTGAGGTCGTCTGTGCGTCTGTCCTCCACCAGACCATGACATGGTGAGCTGAATTACGCCCGCAAAAACTTGCAGGCGTAATTCAACTTATCATGTAAAATACTATTATCTACATAGACAGTAAATTGTCCGAATACCTTTCGAGTTGTATAGACCTCTGGCGATCTCGAAAGCTTCGGAACCCATATTTCAATTGCTACATTATGGCTTTGACCAATTCATAGCCAAAGCGTCTACAATGCCTCCAGCTTTCTCTTTCAACCACCAACCCCTACTCATTCAAAGAACATATTGATTTTAGATGACGGAGCGGTCGATGAGCATCAAACGTCAAGCGTTCGCCATGTTGAATTTCAGCGATTTGAAAAGCCCTGGGGACTAGTTCTTCAGTTGGTTGTCGGTGTAAGCTCTCTCCAAGTGAACCTCTGAGAACCCTTTGATAGCTCAAAATACACTCGCTTCCCCTTGTTTCGTCTGGAAATCGTCTTCTACCGCAAACCCCTTTACCACGGTAGTTTAGAGCTAAAAATTCATTTATCAGAGAATTGGAGTAAAGTATGCATTATAACTTGTGAGAAAGCCCTCAATATTTGAGCTTTCGCAGACACAGCGTTAACCGGTTTTTTTTTTTAGAAATCTACCCAATTAATTCGCCCAACTAAGCAGGTTGGCTGTACACTGTTACTTCCTGGAATACTGGAGTGCAGAGGGAAAGTTCGGACTTGATCTCTAGATTCGCCTAATTGTTTCCTTTTTGTAGAACAATCAACTTTAATGATTCGGAAAATGGGTCATTTAAAAGTTTACCAAAACTTATTGATGGAAAGAAACAGCTGTCTTA